TCTTAAAGAATACTGGAAACTTCTTGGCTAGTCTGTTGGTACGTGTTAAAGCTCTGCAAGATATTGGCTTTAAAGGACCAGGATTGGACACCATCGCTTTCTGGTCTCCCATTTGTCATTTTATTATTCTTAAGGGTTTTGCTTTTGGCTAAGGGTAGACTTTTGCTAAATCAGTGCCAGTGTGGATTGGTAATCTTGAGCGTGGCATTTGGGACAGGGTCTGGGTTGAGGGAAATGTCAAGTTTAAGTATAGCTATGTTTTATTCGCCATAGAAGTATAAATAGGAAAACCGCTCTATCTGATTTGAAATGAAATATTTTTTCTACACTTTAATAGAGGTTTTCTTTAGTTTAGCAACATGCAAAAGTCATTCTATTAGAATTGAGTGTTTGTTGCATCTCTTAGACTTTATGCAAGGACTTTCTTTAATGCAGCATGTGTCAACAAAGCAGCTGGTATTTATAGAGCAATTCAATCCTTTTCATCCTGCCTTAGAAGGTGTGAAGCTGCCCTGTGTTGGCTATAGACGACAAGGCAGCACACTAGATATTGCATTGTATATTTTTGTTGAGGGATTCCCTTGAAACCATGAAGCCTTATGCTGGTATCCCTGATTCTGTTGTCGTTCATGGTATATTTGACTCATACGCCACAGGTTTAGTGGTTTATTTCAAGTGAAAGTGGGTTTGTGAGTTGATTTGACATGTTAAGAAATTCAGTGCACCTAGCCGCAGTTACTGTGCCAATAAAGTGAAATTCCACAAATTGGATTTATTAATAAATCAAGTTGTAAACAAATCCCAGCATGTCGTTGACACTCATTTCTCTCGCCATCTCCAGGCTTTGTTGAGGGATTCCCTTGAAACCATGAAGCCTTATGCTGGTATCCCTGATTCTGTTGTCGTTCATGGTATGTTTGACTCATACGCCACAGGTTTAGTGGTTTATTTCAAGTGAAAGTGGGTTTGTGAGTTGATTTGACATGTTAAGAAATTCAGTGCACCTAGCCGCAGTTACTGTGCCAATAAAGTGAAATTCCACAAATTGGATTTATTAATAAATCAAGTTGTAAACAAATCCCAGCATGTCGTTGACACTCATTTCTCTCGCCATCTCCAGGAAAGCGAATGCCGACCTCATGGAGAGCCTGCTCTCTCCTGTGACTATAAACACCTTATCCATTTACATGTAGTCATCTGCCACTGAAGAAGCCCACTCACGAGGAGAATGACGACAGCGCTCATAATACCGCCACTGACGTGAGGCCTCGGGAACGCCGTCTGTGTTCCCTGTTAACACTGCCTGGATCGGGCCTAAAAAGCCAGCAGTGTAATGTGAAGTGCAGAGCCGCCTCTTTTTATTACACCAACATTGATGGGTGGAAATAAGTGTGTTGGATCGAGACAACTTTTTTTAGTTATGTTTTGAATGAAGTTTCATTTTTTTTCATGCTTCCAGCAGGAAATGCTTCCAAGAGCATTAACTTTAGTTTTGCAGTTGTATTTGAGACATTACATCTTCTAATAGCGACTTGTTTCTCGTAAAATTTAATGTTTCTTGTAATAGTGACTATATTGCAGAATTGTATTTTTGGATCTCACAATGTGACACATTATGAAAGCCTGTTTATGTCCTAAGAAATAAATGAAGATGTGAGGTCACAATTGTGAGAGTTGCATTTACGAGTAATAAAGCTGATAAGTGAACATAGCCATTGGAGAACATTCACATCTTGTGCACCAAATGGCAAGCCAAAACTGATATTTACACAATTTTTGTACAACTTCTGATGCTACCAGACCTTCCCTCATCTCCGCTTCTCAGCGTCTTGGCTTTGCCCAGTTGATTTACAGCCGAAATGCCGTCTGTCTGGTTTCGTAGTTGTTACAGCTTCAAGATATTTTCCACCTGTGAGATTTTTCCACCAAGTACCTTCCACCCTTCTGACCCACCTTGAGTCTCGTTTCTGCTCAACAGCACGTTCTAGTAAACTTTTTCAGCGGAGCATGAAAGGCATTTGAAGGACAAAATAAGTTTGTGTTGACTAGTTTGGTTAGTGGATCACAGCCCATTCCTTGCAGGGATTGATCCAGCAAACTTCCGGTTTAACCATGCCAAAAAGTTTTCAGGTGATATTCCTGAACCAAAACACTCCTGCTTGAGTTTCCTTTCCAGACGCGCTCTAAGGTTGAGAAAAAACATGATGAGGCAATCAGAGCTGGGAGGTGGGAATATGGGACACAGGGGGCCCCGTGTTATTCTTTGCCTCCTGCTGGGATGGTTCGTGGCAGGTGTGGGTGTCTGTTTGGTAGGATGGGATGATCTTCAGCTGCCAGTTGCTGGCAGAAACAGCAAAGCTCTTTATTTCTCTCTTTCACTCCCTCGCTCTTTTTTGGGCCGTTCTCTCGCTCTCTGAACGCATGCTCCAGGCTGTTGCCCTCATCAAATCAAGTTGTGTGGGGCAGATGTCACAGGCGCAGTGGAATGCAAGGAATTCGGAGGCTTGGAGAGAGAGCGAGAGAGAAAGAGGGTGTGTCTGGGGAAGGGTGGGCAGAAACTCAAATCAGTGCAGTGGTCTCTCTGCTGTGGAAGACCATTTTCGCCTCAGAGTAAAAGAAAACTAAATGTAACTCTTCACTTTAATGCTCTTAATTCCAACTTTATTTCTCCGAAAATTTTTTATATAAAATTTGCAACTTTATTTTTCATAATGTGCCTTTATATCTTGCTAATTATATTTTAAACTTTATATCACAATTTTTTACTCCGAGGCACAAATGGGCATTCATGGGCAACTCAACATTGCAAACACTTTAATGGCTGCTAATCTATGGGCAGCGAATGTTGCTAGCTAAAAATTGTTGATATAAAAAGCAAAGTTGTCTTCCTCAAGGGGGCGCTGAAAACCCCATGCATTAGAAGTTTAGGAGTTAAGCTGCATTCACACTAGGGGCTGGCGATGAGGTCAGGGCATTCTCATGTTGACAGCGAATCCGTTTTCTTGCCGCTAAATACAAACAATTTGGAGGCAAAAGACTAAATATAATATAAATATAAACTGAATCCGTACATAAAAACAAAAATGAATGATGACGGCAAGTATCAGCCTAATTTCAGTCACTACTGGGCTGAGAGGAGAACGATCACATGAGCTCTATTGGCTGTCGCTCACGAAAGTCACTCTTCATTTGCATAAAGTTGAAGGATTCTGAACTTTGTCACGTTTGCTGCCGTCACTCGTGTCGCCGGAAATTGCCAGCTTTCCATTGAAATGAATGGGATTGTGTAGCTTTGTCGTTGCGTGTCACTTGTAGTGTGAACACGGCTTTATTGTCTTTAGTAAGAATATTTCAATAGTTGAAAGCGTTGCATTTTTTCATAAAACATTTTTATATAAAAAATTTTAATATAATTTTTATTATTATTATTATATATATAGCATTTTTTTATTTGTTAAAAATGTATATATTTTTTTAAATATTAATATATAATACAATGACATATATATCCTTCAGGCATTTCACAATTAAATAGATTTTTAAATAATTTTTTTCTAGTAGGTGTAGGAAAATGGTCAGCAATTAAATAAATAGTTAATAGCAGTTAGTATTTTTGAGCCAGAGGTTCACTCAGGAGTTTCACGGTAAATTAAAACTACTTGAAGGTGCACTAAGCGATTTTTGTCAAACGATGTTGATATTTGAAAGCAGCAAAACAAACACGCCCATACCCCAACAGGACCTCGCCCCTATATATTTGTGGGGAAGTCGTGGCCTAATGGTTAGAGAGTCGGACTCATAACCCAAAGGTTGTGGGTTCGAGTCTCGTACCGGCAGGGATTGTAGGTGGGGGGAGTGAATGTACAGCGCTCTCTCCCACCTTCAATACCACGACTGAGGTGCCCTTGAGCAAGGCACCGAACCCCCAACTGCTCCCCGGGCGCCGCAGCATAAAAATGGCTGCCCACTGCTCCGGGTGTGTGTTCACGGTTTGTGTGTGTTCACTGCTATGTGTGTGTGTTCACTGCACTGCGCGCACTTTGTACGTACACAACCCTGGCATAACGACAATCGCAGAAACAAGCGAAGAAGCATATTCAAATAAAAGCCAACACAGATAAAGTTGTGTGAAACAATGCAAAATCAATGTTACTCACCAACGCAACCTCGGTTCAAGCCCTTCCCGCTCCTTGAGTTCTCTCCACCGCTGGAAAGCTGCTCCAATATTTACGCGGGTCCTGCCCTTCTTTTTAATATTTTGTTCCACCGATATTTTTCTCTTTTTTTATCTTCCAGTTCTTTCTGTCTATAGTTGCTAATATCCGCCCTCTCTTCTCGCTATCATTACAAGACACGCCCCCTTATTGCTGATTGGCTGCAAGTGTGTTTTGGGACATGGTCTGACACTGCGGTCAAAAGCGCTTTTCAAAAATTGCTTAGTGCACCTTTAAATTAATGTATTTTGTTACAAAAATGCCACATATAAAGCATTCACAAAACATTTTAAATTATTTTTTTTTAAACATCCTTATAACACTTACTTTAGAATGAATTAGGTCTAAGAAATCTAACAATTTTGTCAAGTTAATTTTTCTTTCAACACCTGAATACTGATGCTGTGAAATATTAATAGGCATTGAATTGAAAATATGATGCATATCATGTTCACTTAATATATATTTGGTGATGCATATTACATACTGCATTGCATAATGGCCATTATTTATCCTTATTAAATGTTTTTATGGATACTGCTTTTATTACCAGATGACTGATTGCAGCCGCTTTAAAAATGGGCATATGTGAAGCATGTTTTTTCCCCCCATCATTTAAAGGGAAATATAGTATATAAAGCCAAAAGCTTTACTTCGTTAGTTTTCTATTTGTGGTTTCAGTCTCATGAAGTCTGGCAGTGTTGTTGAGAGATGCATGTTTCTCTTTCATTGCTTTTGTCACCACCTTTTGGTCACTGTGAATCTTACAGAAAATGTTCCTCTCAGGTCGCAACGAGCTTATTGCCAGATACATCAAGCTGAGAACAGGCAAAACCCGCACAAGAAAACAGGTATGTACTTTATATGTACTATCGATTGCACTAAATATGTGTTTGCATAACAACAAAATAAGATTTAATGACCGTTTTCAGTTCAGTAGTTCAGCAAATAGTGTGTTGTGACTGTTCTTGTATGTTTTTGTTAAACCATCTCGAAATTCTTCAGGTATCTAGTCACATACAGGTGTTAGCGCGGAAGAAAGTTCGAGAGTATCAAGCAGGTATAAAGGTAGGTTTGAGACGCACATCTTTTCACTCTTTGGTTATGGCTTCTCTCTCTTTCTCCTCCTCTTCCTCCTCTTTGTCTTTTCCTCCTCTTTGGCTTTTCTGTTCTGCAGGTTTCTAGCCATTTGCAGGTTCTTGCCCGGAGAAAATCTCGCGAGATACAGTCAAAGCTAAAGGTATGCGCTTTCCTGCGGGTGGGGCGGGGCTTAACAGCAATTGCCTTTGCACAAACCAATGAAAGATTGCTATAAGTTCCAGTTATCTAATGGCTGAATAAAATCTTGAGTAATGAGTGCTTGCGTCAATATTTGGCGCAAAAAGTTTAAAGTGCTACAGGAAGCTGTCATGTAGTGTATTGCTTTGCGTTTGGTGCAGCTGTTTGTCGTAGAGGCTGAAGGTGCATGAATGGCTGAGATCTTTGCCCGTCGGCTTTCCTGAAGCTCACTGTTTCTTCAACCTTCCTTTCCTTGCATCCAGACTCCATGTATCTGTCACCAATACTCAGTTTTCACTTGTAAAAATCTGTCTGAAAAATATATAACACGTAATGCAGTCGGCCGATATGGGTTTTTCAGATGACGATTATGTTATGAGTCTGGCTGTGATGTAAACAAATTTGTTGAAATTAAATTAAATATTATTTTTATCTGTGTGTGTGTGTCTGTGTTTGTGTGTACAGAGAGAGAGGGGGAGAGAATTTGTAATATAATTGGTTTATGGTAAAAATCTTTTGTTTAAAGAACTTTAAAATAATTTTTAAAATGTGTAAATTTGAATTGTGTATTAAGTTATTTTTATCAGGATTGCACAAAGTTAGAATAAAATATTGGACTATTTTTTTGTTTTTATTTATTTCTTTTTTGCCTTACATTGAGGATAAGTGGGTGAGATTGCAAAATTACAAAAATATAATTTACATAAGCAGTAAATTCTAAACATTAATATATAGTATTTGCATTGTATTTTTGGTGATTTTAGATTGTAGTGTTTGGCGCCCCCTGCCAGTATATTCATGAACTATAACCTAAGTAAATTATTTGCAGAAAAGCATTTTTTTTATTAGTGCTTATTCGAATTTTTTTTTCAGGTAAAAACATAGAACAAATGTGTCACATTTTTTTGCACAAAGTATGACAATTTCTGCCTGAAATGTTCTGAAACTTTTTCACACTTGCAAGCCATTTTAAGATCAAGAAAATAGTTCTAGTAGAGATCTAGAATAGAATTGAAAAAGATTTAGAATAGAATTGACTTTCATGTAGTTGGCATGCATCCCATACTTTGTTGTCAGAGACAATAGGTTTAGTGAAATTGCTCTCAAAATATTGTACTAATTTTCTTTCTTTCTTTTGATTCAGGCCATGAACTTGGTAAGTGTGGATTTGAATTGTGCAAATTATTGTTGATTTTATTTTTTATTTTTGCTTCGCTTTGCTTGGCTGTCCTGCACAGGTTCAGTTTACATCCAGCACTGCCATTATAAAGTCCTCTTCTCTGGCCCTGCGGTGTGCATAGATTGCTCATAATTCTTGTGTCAATAATATGCCTGGCCGTTTTGCTCTCTGAAGTTTCCATGTCGTCCCTCTGTTTTATGATGGACTGCAGATCATACAGGCTTAATAAATTCAAGAAATGCAATTGTGAAACAACACCACTTCTTGTGGTTGTGCTTCCGAGTGAGCTGCAAGTCTTTTTATTATCCGTGTTCATTTATTGTGATGCAAAGTGACGTGC